CTAAATGCATAGACATTTTTAAGATTTTTTGTTTTGTTTTGGACTTTAAAACGTGTTATTATTGAAAAGACAACAAAATAGCAAAATAAGCTGCAGAAGCCTCTTTGTTTTAGATATTCTCAGGGAGCACCTTTCACTTCAAAATGAGTTTGACATCTTTAAACCTTTTTTTCACTAAGCATTCTTTCTCTTTACAAATATACTTATGATGTGAGTCATGCAATAATATTGTTACTAAGGGCCGGTTTTTCTGCTTGGATTTCTTAAACCCCTATCCCCAGTAAGACCTTCATACATAGGTGGTGTGTCAGCCGACAAAAGATTTTACTTCAAGTAATATCACCTGCTTTTAAGAATCATAACAGCTCAGCCTAGAGAGAACTGTTGTAAACCTGTCCGGTTCTATAAATGTTAATCTCCTAGGGAAACTCCTTTTGTTTGTAGTTAGCGGATATATACACAGGACTAAGGTCAGAGCGACTTCAAAGTCATTCTTTTTCCTTTTTAATATGTTTAGTATTTCCCTGATTCGTATCTGTATATGGCTATGCAATGTGAACTTCTTTAAAAAAAATTTCCTCAAGCCTTTGAAACAGAAACTAGAGTCTGGCGGAAAAGGGCGGATGGTTTTTAACTACGACCTTTCAAAAAGGCAGAAAAGGCAACGTTTCATTTCTAGAAGGAGGCGTTGTCATGTATAAGATAATTGTCAATTACTGAGCACAGGTTTGTTCAAACTTTTAACATGCTTAAAGTCTGTCCTTTTCTAATTTAAAAGAAGTGTTTCTTTAAAAATTGCCAAGTGACAAAATAACCAAATTGGCAAGACATTTGAAAAGATGCTGCACTGTTATTGGGGACATGTCCTTTCAACATCGTTTTCTAGCTATGGGTTTCATAAAAAAAACACATGAGTGTTTTCAATTGTAATCTCTTGTCTAAACGAAACGGTCACTCGTGTCGTGCTATGATAATAAATATGAAACCAGGTTTTGTCAATAACTAAGAAAAACACCGCTTATTGCACCCTTTACATATACACACTATATACGTTTCAATGACAAAAATGAAAGGAGGGGACATACGAAAGGCCTTTATAAATCTACAAACTTATTTAAATCTCTTAATTATTTAAGTGATCATTTTTTTTCTTGCAGCAATCTTTGTGCCTTGCTACTCCTGAATTTCCTGGAAATAATGTATATTATTTTCGGAATCGTGGTTATGGCATATTCCACTCGAATCAACTTGACGTGACGAAAGCTGACTGGGTAGCAAACTATGTTTTATAATAGGTTTGCGCCATTTAAGGGATATCTTTCAAAACCAGCATTTCTTAAGGGCAAAATGACATAAACTTAAAACCATGTTTAATAGAGCTATGACAAGTTCAGCCCTATATTGTAATGCCAAAGTCACTCCGAATGCTCGTTATTTCTTGTTTCGCCAGATTCGATGTATTTCTATTACTTCAATACCGTATGCAAAATAATGCTTATTGCTCGTAGAAAAAATTAAAACAGTTAAATGATATATTATGCTGGCTCCACTTCAAGCGTTTCTACCAAAAATATATTTTTGAATAGTGCATGAAACAGTCCGCAATACCTTCTTCTGACACAACACTTGGGATGTACTTTATAGCAATATACACGATTTCCTTGTAAGTGATTATTTAAACTCTCATTACAATTAAGTTTTTGCGATATCTTAGCAAAACATTATTTAATGAAGATTAAAGTGAGTAATCAATTGAGAGCTATCAAATCTAAGCTTATCTTATATGTTTATCTTATCGCCATAATCAAAAGGAAATGCATTATCACAAAGAAAAAGAGGACATAGTTGACATTTAGCTTTTTCCTTTGTAAAATATTGAATAACAAAATAGTCTAGCTATATTTAAACAAAACAATTAAACTAAGCTTCAATTTGGCACGTTGTACACCGATAAATAAGTTGTTTGTTTTGTTTATGCAGTGAAATATATTAGTTATTATTCATTCATGAAAAGGTTACGGAATTATTTCAGTACTGAAACATAGAGAGAAAAAACAACAACGTTACACATAAAATGCATCGCAATATACATTTAGTCCTGACTATTAAACTGAACAATAAAGTTAAAATGAACAATTGAACCCGAAACTTTGCAGTAATTGCCAGTGGCAAGGAGCCCAGGAGGACCCCAAACAGACTTTCTCACCAGCTATGGACACACACTTTATGAATATAAATATGTACACATATTTTTAGCTCGTCTGCACAGTGTAATTCACTGTGTATTCGGCAATAGTTGCCCTGATGTAGCTCGCACCGTAAACGTCAGTCATTATTTTTATATGTTTACCGATTAAGGTTTGAAACCAACAATTAAATAGATGGATAAATAAACCCTGTAAAGGAGCAGAGACTCACAGATTGAAGCTATATGTAACTTTCACTGATACCATTCATCATCTAGTTAATATACAATCTCATTCAACTCAGATCATCATTTTCGCACCGTTACTCTTCGCTACTGCGAAGGGTAGTGGAGCGACAGTTAGGATATGACTTTAATAAGATTCAGTAAAACTGATCTCGTGGAAATGAAGTTGGATGATTTCACAAAAAAAGAATGTCGATGTGACTTCAAAAAACTATACGTTAGTACGTCATACATTTTCCTTGCATTTGACACATGACGTAGGAAAACATATGTCACATCTCAAGCAGATACAACAAAAATAGCATTAATGTCAACTTGAACCGGTCCTTGATTACAAATCTGATGCTCCTTTTGTCTATCTAAGCGGATGGACATGACACAAAAAGCAAAATTATATAAACCATGATTTTGTATAATGTTAGAATATGTTGTCCTATATTTAAAGTTTATAACAAAATTAAGAAATCAATAGCTTTTTGACTGGTAACTGCACTATATTATTTTTACAAGAAACGGAATATGTTTTATTTATCACACATCCGTGTCGCTTAAGCGACTTCGTAAATTAAAAAGGTATTGCCTGGCCTTGCATATATTTTGACGTGACGTCATTTGCATAGCGCTAAATGTTAACGTTATACTATATGCACGATAATGAAACTCGTTTCATTGATTCAATATTGCATTGTGAACTTACACTCATTCAATATCCTCTATATAGCCGTACAATCAGGCAAGGTCGAATAAACTGACAGTTATCACTACGATCTCTCTCGACACTTGTTAAACTTGTATTTCTTACTAGTTCGTTCATGCGGCCTACAATACATAATAGTCATAGTTCTGAATATAAGACAATTTTAAAAAAAGGAATTTATTCTTATATCTGATAGTCTTTTATTGGTATGCTTACAGTTTGATTTATTTGTATTCATGTAGATTATTAGTAGTAAATCTGTTCACATGCTTTATTGTCCGACACAACAGTTTGTGTCGAACTGCCAGGCGGCAGAACTTCACATACGACCATGTTACATGTCAAACTAGTTAAAAAACGATGTAAATGCATATGATGTTTTATTTATTTTAAAGTTTTTGTGTCTCGAAATTTAAAGGGAAACCGACATATAGGTATAAGTTATTTAACTACTTTCAATGCATGTACAAGAAACAGCTATCGCCTGCCTTTTTGTAAACGTTTACCAAATGAAAGACCCCTTTTAAATTCTTAAAACTCTATAAAATGTTTTTCTATTTTACAAAATTATCAATTATCAATCAAAAGTAAATATACAGATAAATTAACAAATACGTACAATAAATTAAACATATAAAAGTTCACCAGGACATCGCATTATCTTGCATGTACTTTTTTAATATGTCACATTCAACTTTCAGTTTTTCACAAACTTGAGCATAATATATGAATTAAACATACTGAGTATCTAATTAAGATGTTCTCTGAAAGACAAAGCCAAGATAATTTGTATATATTTGTCTAGACTGTGTAAATCTTTCAGATGTTTAATAGGATATTACATGCATAAGCTGCATGTGGCTCATTCATTTACTGAATCAGACAATATATGCGTCTGCTTACTTACGAAAAACACATACTACTACTCGACCTTGAGGTAATAAATTGAATTGCAAGCTCTATATAAAACAGTCAAAACATCGTAAAAGTACATTGCGTTAAGTTTCAAAGACAAAACGCAATATAAAAGGAGATGAATAACGTAAGGCCAGACTTTACAGAGGCATAACGTATAATGTGCTTGTTATTCCGTGCGATAGTTTATCTAATGTCATAGCTTTTATTATTATGGAGTATCTAATCAATTACTTGCCAGACAAAACAAGTGACACCTCTTCAACTGTAGAGTAAACAAATTACTATCATAACGTCGGCTGTTTACTATAATCTGGAAACGTTCCAAGAATTTGTTTCGTGAGAAGCTTTTAGTTATTAACACAATTTAAGAGCGAATATAGGTTTGTCAAGTATAAATAACTTTACATCTTAATCATAACAAAGGTTCAAATGTCAATTTGTAATGTTAATTTAAATTATTATCGAAATCGTTATATTTATGTCATGCATATTAGTGTTTCGGAAAAAAGCGCGATAACGTCACATATTAATTGTTGCAGTCTTATTACAAACCTATTTAACTGAATCAATAATTAAATCTGAAATTAAAATATATATGTATCTTTGCATGACTTTAAAGATTCTTTTTTAAACAGACAAATACAAGTATCCGTACCAAGTACTAATTGTACTAACTTCATAGATTCACAAAGCAATGAAATATAACAATGAATCAAAGAATTTATAACACCTATCAAAGTTACGTGTGTTTGTTTAAACTTGTGAAATATTTATTAAATATATATATATATAAAATACACACAAAAAAGGAACAACTTATATACATCGTGCACGCTGCATGCACTTTGCTTCGAGTTATTTTTAAAAAATGCGATATAATTTATTAGCTGTCAATCAACAGCCGAGACCGCCTTTCCAATAAAAATGTTTGCAACAACGTAATGTCTGCATTATATAAAACTCGGCCGTTTACGCAGACCGTTAATATTGAACAATCTCTGATAGAATTAAAGATATTCTGTCTATCTGTGTCTATACGTTACCTCATAACAAAATTTTACAAACTGGATTAACTTGATACAATATTTATATTTAATTCCTGAAGGAATTAATTTTCATATAATTATGTCTTAATACTAGAAACATAAACTAATAACAATAAAATTGTATAACATTAAATGTATGTACTTGTTTTAAATATATTTTCACGATGATACAGTGTCATTTTCTACAAGACGTGAAATAGTGAGCTACATAATGGTAAACACTTACAAACTGATGCAACATCGGAATAAAATTCTATGCAATTCTATCTACCTCGTTATCGCATTTTGCGTTAGAACAACAGACGGTAAGTAATTTTATATAATATTGTTTATTTTTCAAAATAAAAACAAAAGAAATGATGCCTTGTATACCTATGTTTAATAATCTGGCACGTATTTTTACCATAATTCTACTGGCCGTCTTAAAAATATTTAACTTTTTCTTCAACAAAATCTGGGTTTTTATCTTGGTCTGCCTTGATGCCAATTCAAAGAAAGATACTATCAAATAGGTTTTAACTAACACTTTGATAGGTTAAAGTTAGACAATATACACTTCGAGCCAATTAGAAATGAATACTAGTAACTATGAATATATCAAACAAACGTTTATAAAATACTTGGTCTAAAATTCAATGTGCTTGAATTAGTTATTTAAGCTTGTTATATAAAATGTTAGAAAAAATAAAGCATTGAAACTATACAATTTTGCTATGATAACATTCTAACCTTTCAATACCGCATTTACATCCAAGGAAGGCAGCAGGCGCGCAAATTACCCACTCCCGATACGTGGAGGTAGTGACGAAAAAATATAAACTTATTTAAATTCATTCATCACTGTACACAGTATTTCACCGCTATAAGAGCCAATATAGTTATTGTAATAGCATTCTACATGTGCAATATCTCCTTTGAAATGAGACATTTATTCAGGCAAGCATTTCAACAATTCAAACATTTTAAGCATAACTTACATGTGTAATGCAATGCCAGACATAATGCAGCAAAGAATTGTTGTTACTTTCTGAGGCAACTGTCTATGGTTAATTATTTTCCCCAATCACATTTAAGTATACAAGTGTGTAACGTAACTGTTTAGACTGTCTTATCTTTTGATAAGATATGTTAACGTTAAAAGTATCCAGGCCAATTTAAATTCTTTAAATAACTGCAATAAGTCGTTTTGAAATATCATTTTTACATTATATTAAATGCAATGCTTTTATTGCATTTTTATACGAATAGTATTTGAGGTCTATCAGTTTAAAATGAATTCAGTTCTTAAAAACGTTATTCGTAAATTCATCATTATCAGATCAAACACTTTTGTTCAGAAATGATCGTAAATACTTGTTATTTTAATGTAAGGCTCCATAGGAAAGTTAAAATGACTTTATGCACTTTTTTCGCTGACAAGTTGAGTTAATTAAGTAATATATTTCAATTTTTTTCCTAAACCATGGTGATTAACCAAAAATTGATATTCAAAATTGTGTATGATAAAATATTTAAAAAAAACTTTACCAAAGTTAAAAATAGACAGTCCCACTCTTTTCTAAAAAATATGGTAACCGATATATTTTGATAAAAAATGTATAGATTTTGTTTTGTTTAATTTTATCAACTCTATGAAGTTATTTCAAAGATTTTCTTTCTTTTTATGTCCGCAATACAACAAACAATACGGCAAATCATTTTATTAGTATTTTACAGAAAAGCCAAGCATGTTTAAATTCAATTATCGGTTTAAAAAACTAAAATAACCCATTAATGATTATATTCATAATATGTACCAGGCTCTGTCAAATATAAGGAGGTGGACTTTTAGTTTACATGTACTTGAATTATATTTGCTAAAGTTATTTAGCCTTCTTTACCAGTAAGGTAATATGAAGAATTATCGGTCATTATGTAAATAAAGAAATAAATATTCGTTTACAATCAATGCTATAAATTCTGATTTTATGTCCTTTATGTGTTTTCACATGTTTCACAGGTAACATGAACATATCAGTAATTTGTATAATGCATGTAATGCTCGAAATACCAGTAACACTATATAGTATTTGTAATACAATATGTTCTAATCCGTTCATTAATCTGCAAGAGATTACCTATTTTATAGGTGGCACATGCTGGGAAAAAATTGCAGATAACACAAATCTGTGTCAAAAAGCTTTCCGTCTCAACATGACCAAAGAGGAGTGTTGTAGAATCAATGGACCCCCAACAGTGTCATGGTCCCATCATGAAATAACAAGCGATATATTCTACTGGAATTTCCTTTCTAACGGGGCTAAAAAGTGTCAAAGATGTCATAGTGAGTGATTCCCTCTTATAAATGTTGTTTATATAAAGTATCAATATACAGAACAAAATCAATATATTATTACTGTAGGTTGTTTCCTTTTGTGTCCTTTAATAGTTTCAAAAGTTCTTATATCATTTTGCCAATCGTGATAATTACTTAAAACTTATGTACTAATAGATAGAAAAAAATATAACATAACGTTGACCACATGTTTTGTTTTCAGCAAATTGCTCGTCAGTTCTATGTGAAGAAGGTAAAACGTGTCGTATGTTTGATGGTCTTCCAGTTTGTATTTGCAGGCCTCTTTGCGATAAAACATTAAAAGCTCGTGGTGCATTGTGCGGAACAGATGGTCATAAATACAGAAACTATTGTGCTTTACAAAGGCTCAACTGTTTAAGGGAGCGCCTAGTAAAAGTCGAATATTATGGAAGATGTAGAAGTATGATTACATTTAGTTTTTTTTAAAATGCAACGCACCTTATAGGCAATTTTGTTTGTGTGAGTAAATAATATCTATATATCAGAAAATTATGAAATTGGTATCTAACCTGAAAATTCAGGTAACAATTAAGTGTTCTGTGATTATAGTACCACGATATCATAACATAACCTCATTTTATCATTTTTTTCTGCCTGAAGTTTACCTTGACTTCAAAACTTAAAAAAATGTTTAAGGAGACGCTGAAGACAATAACTAAATAAAGTCACCTATTACATAATTTTATTGATTTAATAGTATTAAATTGTACTATCTCGGTTTTGTTCTTTATATTTTGTAACACATGACCATTTCGTAATTTGCTGATGGAATTATGTGTTACGATAATGACGTTGTGTATTGTTGATTTCTATCAACATGGTATGTATTAAAGTGAGGTGTATACATTTTAGATTCATGTAAGAAGGTTCACTGTGAGGCAGGAACGCACTGTTTACAAGATCAAAATGGTGTTCCACATTGTATATCATGTCATGACCATTGTAACATCGTCATTCCCGACAATCCTGGAAACTATATGTGTGGAGAAAATGGCAAGACATATAGAAATACATGTGAACTACGTGCTGATATATGTAAAACCGGAAGGAGCATACGTATATCACACTTTGGGAAATGTCTTGGTAATACAAAACGTACTTTTTTCAACGCTTATAACACATTAGTTTCTTTATGCACTATACAATTAAAATGATTGATACGAACAAATTAGTGTGGTCAAAGTACCAAAGTGTGCAGTATTGTATTGTTCTGATGAAGTTCTGTATAATATACAACCACTCATAAAATATTCATAAGTTTTAATCTGAGACTAAAGAATAAATAAATAAAACAAAACAAATGAAACTAATCGCTTTCGTGTCCGTTACATTAACAAATATGAGTAATTAAATAATTAAAGTTATCACTTGTTATATTAGCTGTAAAATTATTTTTTTAACAATTAATTCCTCATAACATTGAAGTACTAAGGATTTTCAAGAAAAATATATATTGCTTATATAAATGATGTATTTAACTGGACATATCCTTTATATCTGTACAATAATCTTATGTAAATACTTATCGACAACTTCTTTTCAGAAAATGACACTTGCCGTACATTAAAATGTCCACATAAAACAACCTGCTTGGTTAGTGCTTTAAATGATAAACCGGTGTGTATGAACTGTGCTGCACGGTGTTCACATGCGGTAAACTTTACTATTTGTGGAACGGATAAAAGGACTTATCACAGTTATTGCAATATGATACTGTCTGGTTGCCAATCAGGCATATTTTTATCAACAAAGCATAGGGGCAAGTGTAAAGGACGAAGTAGAAATGGGCAATTTAGAAAAAGTAACTAAAAACTTGTTATATACATTCTTACATGCAATACAATTTGACAGAAATATTTTTGAACGTTTCCCTTTGACCAATATGAATTTTCCTGAATAACGAACAAAGTAATGCAATGTATATTATTATACGTTTCGTTATGTTGATATGAACGTACCTGTTAATATATTTGTGAAGAAATAAAAACATATTTGTTGAAAACTCTTATTATTTTAGAAACAATTTTAAGCATAATTATGATGAAGATGATGATGATGATGATGATGATAATAATAATAATAATAAAATAAAAATAATATTACAATAATAATATTGACAGCTATTTTCAACATGTAAGTATTTCATTTTCAGTTAGAATTCATAACAAGAACGGTATTAAAATCAAGGATTTATCTACCAAAAATAGGCAGAGACAACACAAAAGACACACACGACGAAAAAGAAAACGAAGAAACAACCAGCACAGTAGATATCATAAAATTTCCGATCATTCTTTAAAGGTAAAAAATTCCTTAAAATTATTGATTTGTCACATAAACAACGACACAGAATTATAAAGAGCCATTTAATAAAAACCATAATACACTAGTGTAAAAATATTGCAACTTCTCGTCATGCAATTGGCTTTTTATCAAAATAGCTTTTAATGCGCAAATGTTTACGTTACGCTATATGCACGTCATTGAAAAAATATCAAGTGTTTTAATTAAATTTCATAACCAAATTATCGAACAATATTATTGCAATTACCTCTTTCAATAGATTCAGTACTGAAGATATACCCATTCAATGTCATTTGATATTTTTTAGTTTGGACTTTCACAACTTAATATGAATAATATTCGCGAAGGTTTTTTATCTTTTTATATATGCAATACCTTTATGTAGTTTTTATGCATTTTTCCTGTGTCTAGTACAAGAGACCCACTATTATGTTATTCGTGTAAAATAGATCCTTTTTTCTGACCAGTATATTAACATAAAGAATTATTTTTATCTATACATGTATTTCATTTGTTGATGAACCATATTAACTTGATTTTAAAAAGTCCTTTTGTACTATAAACCTGACAAGGCAGTGCAATTTATTTTTACACATTTTTAACTGGTATTGTCTTAATTTTGTAGAAACAACCTGTTTAAGCAAGGATGCCCACACATTCATTCGAGAAATGAGGGGAGGAACACATTGTCCAACATGGAAACTGTATTTATCTAGAAGATACTATTGCAACACTAAAAGATCTGAGCAAGGATTTGATTATTAGAATATTTCTTATGATATAACATAATATTGCTCATACGTAAAAGTGAAAATGGCAAATCTTTACAAGTCTATATATTTATGTAATAGAGTGTTATAAATGATTATGAAAACTATATGAAACATTAATATTTCATTTGAATTAATTGAAATAAAAGACATACCAAAACGATATGCCCTTGCTGTTTTTTGTTTTGATGAGAAAATATTTCAAAGTAGATTTGTTTGTAGTTTTCTGACTATGCATATACTATTTAATACTACCAAGACGTGTGAAATAAAACATATCTATTTCAACATTTCAATTTAAGTGTAACAAGCTACTTTGGTGAATAATTTCATCATTTTGAATAAGGCTGTTCCTTCCTTTAAATATTGTTGTTATATATCATTGTAAAAAATGATTTCTTTGTCATATATGGAACACATAACAAAGTTCTGTAATTATTGCAATCTTTAAAGGACTAACACAATAGTTCATCCGGGTTTAATTACACCAACACAAATATTAAGATGTTTCAGTTATAGTGATGAAGAATATATTAAAACAATATGCTTAGACATTTGTTTTGTACAGTTGGAAACGTAATCAGTTTAAACACATAGTATTATTACCCATTGTCAACTTAGATTTAGGTGGTAATGGCTACATACCTTTGAACGATTTTAATAACAAAATTAATGGTACTTTAATGCATTGATGATATGCAGGAACTGAGGACATGTATGAGGTTTGTCAAGAAAGTTTGCATAATGATTTTATAAACACAATCTTCGAAACGCTTTTAAGATTATACTTTATTTATGCTTATGTAATATTCACAGTTTACATGCATAATTTTTTACATATTATTAGGATATAATTTCATTCATTTTGTCGTTGATCAATTGATGGAGTTTTAAGCGTGACGTAACTGTTCGCAAGTCATTATTCCTAACGGACTTCATTACCAGAGCTGCATTACTGGTACTGGTACTGCAGTACGTACTGCAGCGATTTTGCAAGTACTGGTACTGATACTGAATTACTCTAACAAAACTTTGCTACTACCGGTACTGGTACAGCATTACTGTCTAAAAAAGTGGTACTGCTACTGCATTACTATGCAGTACTTTAGGTCTTGATAAAAATAGCATCAATGTTTCTCATAAAATAAAGCTGTAAATTACATTATTTTATTTTTGTGAAAAAGTAAGTTATCAATTAAATCTTTAGATAATTTGCTGCAATATTCCTTCAAATGTTAACATAGTATTCATCATAAAAAAGCACCAAAGACTTAATTCAATTGAGATAAACAGACTCAATAACTCTTTACCCGAAAATATCCTTATTAAAATCATTTATTACTTTGTATTTACTAGTAAAAGAGCAAAATAATCACTAATGAATTGCTTCTATTCTAAATAATCTTATTTCAAGTGATATTGTTAGCACCATAAAAAGTTGTTATTTACTTTGGTATAAATTGAACAGAGATGTGAAGGTGTAAAAGGCAACAAAAGACTGTTATGTGTTAAATGAAAGATGATTGCATTGTATTACAGTTGACTGGTTACTAAACAATAAGATATGACATGAATATATGTTGTAAATATTGTTTGTTAAAAGTATGTTAAAACTATAAAGTTGTAAAAATGTTATGTTAACTTTAAAGTAAATTATAATTTTATTTCTTTGCTGAATGATATTTGCAATTATTTGTTTTACACTGTATTTAATCAAACTTTGAAGAATATATAAAAGTAATGGTACTGGTACTTAATTACTTCACCAAAAAAGTACTGGTACTGCAGTACCGTGCTAAAATCTAGTACTGGTACTGGTAATGGTACTGCATAATTTGCCAAGTACTGGTACTGGTACTTAAGTACTACACCCTTAGTATTGATGCAGCTCTGTTCATTATGTGGATGCATGTTTGTTTTCAGCTCGGAAATCGCCTCTACCCTAGTTTTCCACTTTTGAAAAAATAATTAAAAAGTAACATAACAACAAAAACAAACGAAGTAACAAACAAACAAACGCCTGTACCATATGTAAACTGCACATATCATTTCATATCATTCTCCCTTGTTGTTTTTATCTATTTGGTTGTGATATTTGACATACTTTTATGAGACATATATAACTTTGTTCTATTCCGTTGTTAGTTGACGTTACATTACGCTTTTTTAAAAAAAAATTTCTTAACAGCTAGTTCAGTTAATAATACATGCTGTACGGACAGGTTGATGTATGATATGAAATTGCAATGGAATATTACTAGATACTGGAATATTACTAGATACACCCGTTGACGACTAGCAAACCATTATGCTACTTGTAAAAAGAAAATAATTTTCTGTTATTCATCAATAAGCGAATTTAAAACTTAGGTTTATATTGTTACATAATAAGTATGTTCCATTGATTTTATATGCTGATTTTGTAATGTGATAGAACGTATTTCACAAATTAATGTTTTTGAAGATATGAATGTGCTTATTACTTGTTAAGAATCAAAAAGATTTTTCTTAGTTTTTCCTAAAATCAATCATGATTAAATTTTTATACTTACAAATATTGAGCACATATAACACACAGGTAATCAAATTGTAAAATAGAAAACATGTGACAGGGACATACAAAGAGCAACAGATCTATATGTCAAGACATTGTTGTTAAGTGTTACTGTTGGAATCGAAAAATGTAATAAAAAGATATAGAGGATATTTGTTTGTTTGTGTGTAAGATGAAATTCTATTTATCGAGTGTGATTTAAAAATAGTATTCTCACGAGTGGCATAGTCACAAGTGAGAATACTGTTTTTAAAGTTCATGAGATGAAATAAAATTACATCTTACACAACAAACATATTTTCTTTTTATTTTATGCTTAAAAACAAGTTAAAACGAAATTTCCATAATATTAACGTTAATATTAAAACCTGTTTTCCCCATTGAGAGCCCCATTTAGTCGGAATTTTTCATTAAATACAAGAAGTCTTGAGCTGAAAAATTTATTCCACAATCAACGTTAAATGACGGTGATATTATTCATTTTATTAAAAAAATATGAATGATCGCTTGTTTTAATAATAAAAACAAACAATTCTTGTAGGGGAAAAAGTCCAACCATCCATCCATATTTCCGTTACTTACTGCGATTGTAACAGACAAAAAATAAGAGTTGACAGATGTGAAATCATTCAAAAAGCAGCAAGGAAAATGGAAAACTTCAAACTTATCAAAGGCTGGCTCAGGAACACTGGGTTATTTACTTATTCTACGGGGATAGCTGTCATTGCTTTTCAAGTTTTCATAAAGCATACGGCAGTTATTGCTCGTAGGATACTTGAATATGCCCAAATGTCATCAAGAGCAGTTTTGCATGTGGAAGGAATGTATTTTTCAGACTGTAAAAATGAAACAAAAACATTTAGAGACGAAATTTGGTGATTGGAATTTGAATGAATAGAAGTAAGTTTTCTTCTTTTTATTACTTTTGACATTTAAGTTATTTATCAATTTCAGCTTTGCTTTTCTTTAAACAGCCTGACATTGTCAGAATTGTCAGCAAAAATAAAATTGAAGTACCACATGGGGAAAATCTTAAAAAAGTAGTTTCGTCATTGAAAAGTGTGAAATTATATTTTGATAATTTTCACTGTGAAATTATCAAATATAATTTGCACAGATAAATCAGTAATCCACTGGAGAGCATAAAATAAATTACAGTACTGTCATAAACAAAGTTTGTATGGAAATCATTTGTGACAAAAGTTATTTTTTTTACAATTACACCATCATCTCAAGTCGCAAAATCATAGAAAATATTGGCTTTTATAAACTTATCATGCAAACACACGTACAGCGAGATAGCATGTCCGGAAATAAATTGTTGGATTGATAATGTAATATATTTTTATTGACATTGATGATCTTTTAGGTGTTTATTATTTTCTGGCTAGATATGTAATCATACTTATGTCAGGTTTTTAAATGGAATCTTGAAATGTTCTTCAGTGTATATTTTGATATGTTTAATGATTTTGAAACAAAAAAATTGAATTCAAAAGCTAAGGATTTTAAAAATTAATCACAGACATCATAATCATGCAATGTAGTATGTCTATGAACGTGTACATTTGGTATTTATTATAGATGAATATAATATACTTTTCGCATCTAATACATGTATCAACATCTTCCAAGCATCAGCTACAAAATATTCCATTTTCTATGGCCTTTTCTACAATGCAGTTTTTTAAGAAAAGGATATACCTGGAAAGCAGTCAATACAATTTATTAAAAAAGGCAAAAATTGCAAATTTGGTAAAAGTGCTGTATTTAATTTTGTTCAAGATACAAATGTAAATTGAACATATCTCTCATTCCCCTCTCTTAGCCTAAATTTAAGCAATATTCACTTTGAATAGCAAATGTAATTGATCAATGAACACACAGAAACAGAAAATATTCTAGACTGAAAGATATTTCATGAAAAACATGTAACGTAAAAGTGAACCACTGTAAAATAATTCATCAATTAAATCTTGGAAACAACATGCAGGTGCATAAAGGTTACACACATCATTCATTCTTAAATGTTTGAAGGTAAGATTGATTGATTGATTGATTGATTGATTGATTGAAGTACGTTAGATTTTTGCCATATTTAATTTGTCAAGTGCATTTGTTAATGGTATGACGTAGAGAATTGCGTACTTTCATGAAATATTTGTACAATGTTATCCGTTCAGATAATTGTTATTCAATTCATGTGTATGGCATACTTATTTTAATGCTAAATTGGTATCGCTACTTATCAAACTGCTATTTCTTAGCTGAATTAAGTCGCCATCTCATGGCAGTGCTTTCAATTCCAAGAAATGTTAAAATTTTCGGATTGGGCTTAACGTATTTCCAGGTGTATATACATGTATATATATCGATAGAAAAAATGTGAATGTCAAAATCAAATCAAATCATCTGGGATAGGTCTGTTTGTTAGGTTAATCATAAAGTGCATTTTGATAACACCTATCTGTATTTATCTGTGATGTAGGCTGTAAACATGCACCTTCTTTTGGTTCAGTAATTGTTTATCTTCAGTATATACAAGTGCACATAATCGGCGCGGTATCAGATAGTATATTACTGATGTGTATTTGTGGAAACTGAATGCTTT